TACCGGCGGAAATCCGCAGCGTAGTCTGCAATGCCTGGGCGAGGGGTGAGGACAGTAGTAAAAGCGGATAGAAACTATCCCTGCACAGCAGCTGCGAACAATCTATTCCGGGCAGCGTGATGTAAAATGCAGCACTTCTTGACACATGCTACTCAGCTACAGGAAAGAGCTGGTTATAGATCCGTCTAGCTATCCTTTCTTTCACGGACCTTGGACTGTCACATGCTCGGATTCGTATTCAATATTTCTGGTCCCAGGAATAGAGGAGAGTTTTCAAGACAAGTACCCTGAGGTACTTCAATTTCTATCTTGCTCATCTCCGGTCTTGAGAGACACTATCGTTCTCGTGATAAGGGTTGACAGAAAATAAGGCCACCCTCCTGAGGTCACGAACCCAAACATTTTGCGTCTTCCCATGCCCCTTTGATAGACTTAAAGAGCAGATATCTTCAATTCCCTTCCCTTCCTTGTGGTTGTGCCTTGGTCTCTGGCCGGCTGCAGGGCATCCACTTCCTTAAAGTACTGGATCAAAACCGATGCAGAAAACCAGAGAATAAGCCTTTTTGCGGAAGCAGCCTTATGAATTTAAATTAAAATTGTTACGCGAACAATCTTTTCTTTTTCTAGACATGCGTTTTTATTAATGAAACGATGAAGTGCCTCATATTTTGCATGATGAGGGGGCCAGACCTGTATTGGACTCAAAGATGGTAAAAGCTTTGAGCCCCCAAACTTTATATTCAATTTGGAAAGTTTGACGGAGGGAAAATAGCATAGGAAGTAGGTTTGGCGTCTCCAACAGCCAGCAATGGACTCAAAGGTTGTCTGATCGTATAAATGCAATTTACGAATGTTTACACTCTCGTAATATCGTGGAGTCTTTAAATTCAGGAACTCATCTGAAACGCAAAAAAGGGACTAGTTTCAGAATGAATATATGCATGGTAAGTTTTATATCGAATTCTTGGACAATCATCGTGATCCCACTAATAGCGATAATGGTTAATTTCCCTCTTCTGGAAAGATTTGCAAGGGACTTACCGAGATGGAAGCGAGGCACATGCTCTCTCACACTCTGCAGAGGGCAAGAGTCAGGCGGCCTCATTTTTCTTCCTTCCTCACGCAGTCATATCATATCCGCTCCCGAACGGATTCTAGAAAGTCATCCGGTCCTTCGACCCTTGGGGTAGGAGGAGCTTGCTTCAGCCGATTTCACTTGCAACTTCAGTGTGATGGTCGGCGAGTAGAATGGGTTCATGGGCCGAACTTTCGAAGTGGGGTTCTAGCAGCTGCAAGGTATAAATGACATATGAAGCCAACCCCATGATGTCAACTGTGAGGAAGTTTTGTATTGTTTCCTTCATTATAAGCGTAAAAAATAATCCACTATATGCCTACTCAAAGGTAAGCCGATGGATTGAATTCCCATTACCCGCAACACATTTAGGGAGGATTCACCTGGCTCTTATAGCATAAGCCAATCGAAAGCAGACCTTTCAACTCGAGGAAGATTTCACAGATCTTCATGAGGAGGCTTAGAATATGGTCATTTCATTATAAGTATGGTGGCATATTCGGGATAGGGTTTATAACAATCCTGTATGGGAAGAAGCTGAATGAGATTTGTAGAGAAAAGAGAACCATTGAAACGGTGGATGAATCCTTTTTGGGATTCTTGATGAAAGGTCAAAAGATACTTTTTTTTGCTCAACACTTTTGCATGGTCCTCTTCATTTCCACTGAGGAAGGAAAGGAAGAGTAATGAGCTGGCCATGTATGTGGGGGGGGGGGGTGTTGTTAGTCCCTACCAGCACTTCGTTACAGCATCCCTAATTTACATAAATCTCGTACCTTACCGTCATTTTCTTCCCAGTGGGAAGAAGGTCCTTTTTTGTCATGCATCTCGCAATATCCCCTTTCTATACTGCCACTGAATGGTATCCTTCGTGGATAATTGAAATGTGAGCCTGCTTATGAGTTACAGTTCCTCCTCCCGTTTCCGTTGATTGCTGCAATGGAACAGAGATGGAAATCCGATTCGGAAGATATTGGACGTCGAGATTGATGGTGCAACGTAGGCGATAAGTTCCAGGAATTTTCGAATAACTATTCTTTGCTAAATGAAGGTAACGAGGCTGGGAGCCATCGTGTACCCCTCATGATGATCCTGCCTATCGTTTAGGTTGGGGCTGTACGATCCTCGGAAAAATTGGGTGATTCCGCGATATCGACCTCGCTCTTTTCCCGGGGATTGGGAGCGGGAGGGGCGAGACAAAATGAGAAGACACTCACACCTTCATGCTCCCTCCCCTCCTCTTCCCACCCGAGCCAAGCTACAGTCGAGGGGGCAGACGGGGAGGGAATGGGGGAGAGGGGGCGGGTGTTCGCGACCCAGACACGTCCGATCTCGAGATCCATACTTGATAACTTCGGTTACTATCGGTACCAGTACTACGATGATTAAGCTTCGATTCCAGAACCGAAACTCGTAAATACCTGTACAGCGGCTTTAAGGTTCTACCGAAATCCCGCACAACCCATGTCAGTGGTTCTCAACCTTTTTCGCGCCGCGACTCACCAAGCTTCAGTCTCAAATTTGCGACCAGCAAGTTCAGGGAGGCTATAAATAAAGGAGGCATGTGGTTCGAAAACAAATAAATCTGTGAATAAACACGAGCATGCGCTCATGAGGTAGTACAGAACCATGAGTTTAAGAAAGACTTTCAACGTTTAAAAAATGCAACCTTCACCGCTTTTTCCCGACAGCATCGAAAAATCATTGGGAAAGCTACAGCCCATAACATGAAAGCGTTCGTTGGAGATTGATAGCGGTGAACAGGCAAAAAGGATTTTTCATGTGTTCATACCTGGAATTCCAATGCCCCTCTCCTTAAAGTGTTTAGTCCCGACTCCTCATGTCAACCACCGTCAATCTGGTATTTCTGCGACGTGGATCGGTCGGATACCACAAGCGGAATTCTCACGCTGGACACGATCCTCGAACGTGCATGGAGCCGACATTCTCCTCGTCTGGTATACGTACTCCGTGGCTCTGAATCGGATAGGAACTGATGGGACAGACGTCTCCGACAAGCCCACGCAGTCGGTCCCTCTCCGTCTCGAGATGGGATCGATACGGTTTCAGCTCTGATTCCTACTTGGTCTTGAGGTCCACTCGGTACTTATTGTAAATCAAGCAAAGAGATTCGCCAAGATGTGGAGCTGTTCTCGAAGATTGGAATGCCTGACATTGAGGTTCATGCACGTCAAGTTAGGATTGGATGAAGAAATGTTGAAATGAATGAAATTCTGACTCTGATATGCACCTTTGTGAGGAGTAGCTTATGGATGGTTTATATGCAATTTTCGGCCTTTCTTAATAGAATAATGTCGGCGAAATTATTAGTGAAATTTGATGGCTGTTTCGGGAAATTTAAATGAGCTTTCGTTCACGCGGATTGCATCCCATTTCCCCAAGGCATCTAATTTCGGAGTGAAAATGTCATTTCCTGGGTTTTGAAGGAAACTCCCTCTCCAATCCTATCCATTTCTCTCCTAAGAGAAATGGAATGTGGAATGCGACGGCTGAATTCCGAAGACCGTCTGTGGAATCTCAAGTTCGTCGACGGGCAAGTTTTCCTTGAAGTCTTGGAGGGCAGCCATGAAGTTGCAGATATTGCGGGTAGGAATAGAGGGCTTCAGTTTCGGCATCTTCCGCTATAAAAAGGAATGTATGAGCAAATTTCAAGCCTTTCCCTTCGGCTTTTATGGACCATTCTTTTGATTTCAGCTTTTTAAGCGGTTCTGAAGGGCACCAGGAGGTGCTTAATATTCCATCTCCAATCCAACCTACAGCTATAAAAAAAAAACTTAACTGAAGCTCTCTAATGCTGGAAAGTGTCGTTCACGGCGTTTAGCTTATCACCCATGTGTGAATTCGCACGTGTCGACGTGCTGAAAATGCATTTCATTTCACTGCTGCTTGATCCTTCTTGCAATGATCCGACTGAAAGACGCCCTGAGTGCCCATTCCTGTCCACGTGCCAAAATTGGATTTCCTGCATGGATTCAATCGCCAATGATCCCTTTTCTATCTTCGAAATGACGAATATGTTGGGGAAAAATTCAGATTCGGAACGCAGAAAGTCATCTCAGATTGTGATTTAAGACAAGGGTGTTTCTGCCCAAAATCCTTTCGAAATGCCAATTCCCACCTGACCAATCTTATATTCACTTTCCGTTCTGAATTACAAGGAGAAATGTGCCGAAAAGGTATTATAAATAATCAAAAGTGCGTTTTGAAACGGAAATGCATTGAGAAAGTGTAGCATTCGGATTCTTGTCCTTTTTTGTTGTTGCTTGTCCTTTCCTAGGATTATCTGCTAACAAGCCGTCCCCTTCCTGCATTCCTGTGTTCACTTTCCATTCGGAGAGTGGCCCCTTTCCAAGAAATCTCACCTCTTTCAGGCACTTCTGATTGACCTCACTCTTTTTTTTTCAAGTATTTATTTATATTTATATATATTTATTTATTTGATCCTTTCGCGACCCACCCGGAATAAGAACGCGCCCCGCAAGCTGATAACCACTGGTTCAAGTGAAGGGCCGAATTAGACGTTGCTCAGAGCCATACGTTGCATCCCACTTTCATGAGGCGAACAGACTCTGAAGCTGAACCTTCGACAGCAGCTCTAAAGAAGCCTCATGGAAAAATGCACCTTCGTTGAGTTGTGCTGTGGCAGGTGTTCCCAACTCCAAGGCTCGTTCAGAATCTCTTATTACAGTGCGGGTTTACCTCACTGGAGAACTGCCAAGAGTTCGAAAAGAAAACAAAAAACCAATTACCGGAGTATGAATAGCCGAAGCGAACATTTCACCTGTTCGGTTTGGCCGAGCCATCACCATTTCGCCATCGTAAAAGTGGGATATTACCCTATATTTCTGTGTGTTTTGTACAAGAACGTCCCATCATAGCTCTGTGGGACAAAATGGGGAGACATATGAGAAGTGAAAAGTTCTTCTCTTTTTCCCATCTGTACGACTTACGGCAGCTTCTCACCTTTCGCTCCGGAGGGCTAATAGGAAGATAATGCATTTTCTAGGAAGAACCCGAGGCGCTGTGCCGATGCGAAGAGAAGAACATGGTGTGTGGGACGAACGGGGAGACTTACAAGACGATTTGTGCCTTGAGGACGGCTGCGGCCGGGACTGAAGAAGGCGAACAGCCGCGACTGGAACTGGCCAGCTGGGGACCCTGCAAGATGAGTCCGTGCCTCTGTCCTCCCGTGTACCTCGAAGGTCGCGGTCGTTCCCGGTTCGGAGGTGATCATTTTTATTTTTGTTGCACTAGAGCCGCAGATCACGGGGAAGCCGGAGAGCATCCCGGCGACATTGGGAGGGAAGGTGGCAATTTCTTGCGAGGCCCGCGGGTGGCCCGTCCCTGTCATTCACTGGGAGGCCAAACGAGAATCCGGCCAAGAATTCATTCTCCCTAGTCCGTCTTCTGCTCTTCATCTGCGATCCTCCTCCTCCTACAGACTCTCAGCAATGGAGCTTGGGTGTGTTTTCAGGTGACTACACGACGATAGCCGTGCAGACGAGAGGGGGACCAGAGAGGCTCATGGTGAGCGGCTGGGTCCAAGTGATGGACATCCAACCCGGAGATGGTGGCTTGTACACGTGCGTGGCCGTCAATGAACTCGGGGAGGCCAGGGCCACTGCCAACATCGGCGTCTACAAGGGTAAGTCCTTCGACCCTCGCCACTCGGCACGAGACATGGCAGACTTCAAGTAAATGCTTCCATACTTCCCTTCTTTTGCTTTTGAGTCTCATCTCATTGTTCTGATGATCCTTCTCTTTCATCCTTGTTTAACGTCTGCTCAGCCTCCTCATTCAGATAGTCCCGGATGAATATGGATGCTGGCGTCATCCATTTCTAAATTCCCGGAACTAGAGCTCATGTCCCGAGGGAGATATTCTCGTTTCTGAGATTACCTCTTTTTTTTAGACAACTTTTCGGTTGCCAAGAGCGTTTTTTTTTTTCTTGATTCTTTTCAGGCACGGAGGAAAATACAACCGAGGAGGAGGAGGAGGTAGAAGAAAACGACATTTAAGAAGCTGAATCGTGTACAGTGAGATACATATCCGGATTCCCCGCTCTACAACAACCTGATTCCGTGGACCTGAGAACCCGGTTCACACAGGCTGGACCTTGAAAATGCAATTAGTCGCTACTCTCACTCTCATATAAGATTTCTGCCGGAATACTAGCTACATTCCGGTGGAGCCATCGATTTCCACTCCCTCCCCTTCCTTATCGTGGTCCTTTGTCTCCACTCCTTTTGTTCTTCGCCTCGATATGGTAGGAAAGGATCCTTGTAGCCTACGAAGCCCGTCATTCCTCACGCGGTTTCGCTGTATCATATAGAAAATGTAGCAGTGATGTGTAAAAAAATACTGAGGCATGAAAGATTGATTGTCAACGGACATGATCTGAATCGCTGATGGTGCTAGACGTTCTTTCAGTCATTTGTACAGAAGTGCCAGTCGTCTCTCAACGGTGCTTTCTTCGACTTTTTCCACTTTTCGTGCCCGGCATTTCTCGTGTAGCTTTCCTCGGAGAGTTTCTTTGCATGCTTTTTTCTTGGCATTTATCGCCGACACGTGCCTTACGAAAACAAAATCAATGTATTTTGTGCCGAGATCGCCAAGAGTTGCTATATGCATGGAGTGATACTTCGCATTTTTCTATATGCTTATCCTATCCTCTCTCCTTCACTTTACTTACGTGACAAACATGAGATGCTTGAGGACCTAATCTGTGTTCATGAAAATGTGAATATTTCGAGATATATTTACAGTTATATAAATATATATACATGTATGCACACAGAGAGAATAAATGTTTGTACAAAATGATGTGAATAAAGATAATAAAAGGGCATCGAGAGTTTCGCGGCTTTCCCAGTTCTCATCTTTGATGATGCGAATTCTCGGCGTCATTGCAAGGGAAAGCGGAATTACCTCGTACATACTGTACAGAATGTGGCAATGCTTCCAAGTCAGCAAATGCCATTCAAAAAAGATTAGAGGGCTGTAGAAGTCATGGCGAGAAAAGGATGGATTATCCCCCTGGAATAGATCATCCGGAAAATTATCTTTAACTCTCGGATTGTGACGTTTATTCGTGCTCTCATCCAACCATCACCGAAAGTTTTGCAAATCTTGAAAGCTTTCACTGCAGTCGTGGCAGCGCACGCACTAGAGTGTCAGTTTTGCAATTGAATCGCTTAGGCCTTTGGACACAGAAACCCACTAGACCAGGGGTTCTTAACCTGGGGTCCTTGGACCACCAGGGGGTTCATGGAGGGTCCATGGAAAATGAAATATATAATTGAAGGTAGCTCCCGAAAAACATCATTTATAATCACAAATCCGGGTGTTTCAAAGTTTCTGATTACTGCGGGTGGGGGTCCATGGGTCCCTTGAGGATCTGGGGGGTACGTAGGTGCAAAAAGGTTAAGAACCCCTGCACTAGACTGAGAGCTGTGGCTCGGTGGGGAAGGCGTTCGGAAGACGACTCCGTGCACCCAGGAGCATACCCTCTTCCCGATTCTCGCCAGAGAACATCCAAACTCCTTCGGCTATTGCCTTCTTTTAGTTCTTTTAGCCTCTTGCGTTCGACACCTTCTTTCTCTCGAAGTACATCGTAGTCTGAAAGAAAGCAAAGTCTTCATAAAATCAGCGAGCTGTCTATTCGCCATTAAAATTTCAGCCATCTATGAATGAGAGAAGGGGCGAGGGAGGGTTGGAATGGCGCTTCATTTCATGAGGGGGATAAAATGGGAATTCTAGGCTATCCTTTTTTGCAAAAAGATTCAATCAGTCTCAAAGGAATACTCTTTGAAACCCAGATACTAAAACAGAATGAGGGGATCAATGCGCAGCTATGGACTACAAGGAAAATTGAAATCGATGGAGCGTGGCTTTTGGGAATCGAGCCGCTGGACCCTTTCTGAATATTCCAGACGAAAGAAACGAAAAGAAGAACTGTCAACAGCAGGAGTCGGTGGATGCATCCCGAGCCATCTGCAGCTGTGGACCTACGATCTAGATTTACGTTCTAGAATTCTATATTATCGTTCCTTTCTGTTGTGTCTCTCCATCCCGTCACATTGGGCTTCTAAGGGTTTGGCATGGCAGTAGGTCCGCAGGCTGCACATCCACGTTGGGCCAATGTAAGGACCAAGTTTGAATCTCAGGTGAGCGATGTGAGGCCATCCCTCGTTCCCTTGTCGGACGACCTTTTAACGCTCGCACGACTTTTAGGCGCTGAGAAGAGTCAAGATGGCTAGTAGTCTATTCGAATTTCTATACATTTCCATATTATCGTTCTGCTCCCCTGCCGAGGACATTCATGTTGCCGAATCTCTTTCCGTCTGGGTGTAAGTACTCCAGCGAGTACTAATTTCGTCGACTGTCTCCTTCAACTTCAACTTCCTTCGCGGGATTAGTATCCCTTCTATCACACACAAGGTTCTTAACCGGATCTGGAATTGCATTTCAAATAAGATCCCTGGGGTGGAGCTCTTCATCACGTCCGAATCTTCCTCCTCCACCGAAGCCACACAGCCTGAATGAGTCCGCGGGTTCTAATCCTCAGCCCATAGTGTCACGTCCCTCGTTGAATAATCCTTTCTCCAGAACCACCATAAGTCTCCCTGAGTGGGGTTACCTGTTTAGTCGAATGAATGGGTGAATTCCAATGTCCACTCAAAATTGTCTGTGGGAAAAGATTTATTACCGTATGGATAGTATTGGAAACTTATTTCAGTGATATCAGGGTGTGACTCGTAATATCGGCTATTTATGCGTCTTTTTTCGCTTCAGTTGTGGAAACCTTGTTCCTTCGAGTAATTGTGCTAGATGGCTTACCGCACTTGGAGCTAGCGTTGGCTGCTGCACTAGCGTCCATGCAAAACTTGCATAGTCAACCCACAGCAATGTTATAGACCAACATTACTAAGAGTTTTCTCACTCCTAGTCGATATGGGTCCAACATGGTGGGCTGCCCGAATCCAGCACTGTAGTCCGACAGATATCGTACGAGTTTTTTATGCTCATTGGTTAAGTCGAAATCCTCGATAAATTCTGTTTATTTATTTATTTATAGATTGTAGCTCCTAAAACCCTCAAAATATGAGAAGTTGTGCAATCAAATTTGGCGTGGACGTAGTTCATGATCGAATATTGTCAAATAAGAGTTTAATTTGAAAACGTAAAGTGATAAAACGGAAATAAGAGTTAAAGTACTAATGCGAAATGACTTAATGTCCAAAACACGGAGGTCATGAGATCGAAATTAGCATCTGTTATCTGTTCCAGAATACTTTCCTCTCTCGAAATCAAAACCGTTCTTTTTAATGAACTAAAGGGGGGAACCTGTGGAAACCCATGCTTTTAGCTTGATGGATTTCTTTTTTTTCTTTCTTTGGATGCTCGAACAAGATTAAGAGGATTGATAACCTGGAAGAGGCTCCGTTTGCTTTTGGCGAAATTATCACGTCCCTCATCCTTCTTCCTATCCGCCATCCCCTTTTTTCTCATTCGTTTCCTTCTCAATTTTACTTGACTCAAGATGGATGATATCTCGCTACTTCATGATATTCTAAGCTACTATTATCACTACTCTCATCTCACGTTTGCACCATGATACTTCGTGCTACCTGCTGCTTCTCTCCTTGTGCTCTCTTTACCCGTGTTTGGATCATATCACTCCAATCTCTCCTGCTACTCTCCCCATATCCTCTTCCTTCCGGGTCTCCTGTTCTCTATCGTACTACCGTCCTCATATCTATTTTCAAAAAATGTTCTTTTCCGTTGTATTTTTGAGGCAAGTAAGTGAAATATGGGAGGCGATGCATGCATGATATAGTGTTTCCCCCACATATTTCAGACTTCAATAGTTTTGTTACGGGGTGCACCTATAGTTAATAAGGAAAAAACCCCAAAAATTCATTTTCCCACCCCTTTATTTTAGCACGACGAATAATATAGTTGAAAGAGCAAATGAAAGTGATTCAAGGATTGACGGTATTTTGAAAGTCCAGTTACGGTCCAGCAAGAATGAAAACTGATTTTTCAAAATGAACCTAATTTGCTTTGTAATTCAAGTTCTTGAAAGAAATATCTTGAAGCAGTGTCAGTGGCTGACCCCTGATTTGTTGAGTTTTGGAATTTTCTCGTTTTACCTTTCGTGCATCCTGTATCTCGATTTTTTAATAAAAATAATTTAATTATGTTAATGAATGAGTTTATGTAATGCCTGAAAGCAGCCATATTTCTTTCATTTACCTCAAATATAAGGGAAGGGGAAATTTTTTCAGAAACTGTTTGGTGTCTTTAAGGCACCATGTTAAGGATTATCCTAGTGTGACTAGATACTCTTGTCAATCTTTAGTGCTTTGGCCTTCCTATGAAATATATGGCTTCATGTTAGCGACGAACATTCTTAATCCGTAATAAAACGAAAAGCAAAGAAACATCTCGTTCCTTCTCTTTTCATTCCATATTACCTGTCGTCTTCCTCGTAGAAGAACAAGAACGTGAATGAAGAAAGCGCAAGAGGAAGAGACGAAGAATGGAAGGTGACGGTGAGGGAGTCGGTCATATCGGAGCCCCTGACACGAGACCTGGGAGAAGATGGATGTGAGGATGACGGAGGGGGTGCCGTTCTGGAGCAGATGCATACAGATGCGAAAAGGATAGGGATGAATTTCACCGGAAGCGAATGGAGCCCTTACCAAAACCTTGAGCTGTTCTACCATCATTTAACCGCAGATACAGGCACTCATTCGCCACTTTGGAAGTGAGATTTCCGTCTCCGAGTGAGTTGTGATGAAAACTATATATTTCCCGCTTCTTCGGGTGAGCACTCATCAGCATTCAATTGCATGGCACTTCCTGATCGTCCCAGAAATTTTCAGACCTTCATATGTGCGCTATGTTGCCAGTGACATTGGGTTTATGTCTCGCCATTTCCCCAAAAGTGTAAGGAAGGGAAGCGTAACCATGACGAAAGAGATCGCTCAGTTCTGCAAGCCGGTTGCGCCGTCATAGGGATAGATTCTATAGTCTTTATCGTCCCTTTCATGCGCGAATATTCTGGATATCACCTCTGTACATCTCGGCTCCTCGAGCCGAGACTGACGTCTCGAGGAAGGCGCTAAAGAATGAGCGGCCTCATGCGTCTCTCCTACTTAGTTCAGGCTTCTGCAAGCGGACGCACGAGGTACCAAAAACCGAGGGGAGAAGGATCGGGATCAAAGATATCTATGAAGACTTGAACTCGGCGTCTTACCGACTTCAGGGTGTGATAATGTCCCTGCGAGTCTAAACCTATTATGCTGAAATAATAGGCGAGGCCCCACTTTCTTAATTGCCTTCCTATCCGAGTTTGAACTTTCTCACTCGCCTTCGCAATCTCGAGTGGAATCAGTCGTCGAGAGATTTCGAAATTGGTTTCAAAGCAAGGTTTCTCGCATAAATGGAGAAACTTTCCACTCAGTTCAATGAATGGGAAATTTTTCCTGGTGTTGGTCTCCTTCTCCCATCCTCAAAGATATTACGAAGTTTCATCCACTTCGGACCATTCCGATTAAAGTTCTTCACGGAAAAGGAGGAGAAAGTTGTTGCGAGAGCTTTCTAGTGTCAGAAGCACATGGAACCTCGATTGATGTTATTTTCTTCGGTTTCCGTTTGGCTCAATCATTGCTACATCAGCCTATTGCTGGATTCCCTTCTTTATCAATATGGCAAGGAACTTGCCCTTGTAAGTCCTGCATCGTTTCCTCCGGGACTTTCTCATCTTACCAGGCAGTCCATACTGAGTCGTGAGAGAAGTGAATCTCGTGAATAAAATCCTTTCGGAGGAAGGAATGAGT